TGCGAAATTATTTAAAGAATGTCACTACAGTGATTGAATTGAGTTCCTTATAGAATATATTAACACCAAGTTTGTATTTAAGTCTTGAGTCACTTATGAGATCACCTTATTTTTAACCTAGTCTCGTCTTGTAGGGATACAAGTAAAGAACTTACGATCAAGTGGTGAAGGTGTTGCACCCTAGCAAATATTAGGAATGACAGTGGGAGTCAAGTGTCCCGTGCCTACTTTGGATTATAAGCTATTAGTGTGAAGCCTATTCGTATTATTTTAGGTTTGCTGTCGAGTCCGAAGGTCACTTAACAGCCAGTGGAGAACAACAAATGTTCCGATTGAACTTATCGAAAGAGTAATAATTCTTGTAGCCTTGTCTAGGAATTTTTATTAATTATTTCAAACAAAATGACCCACTACAGTAGGCAGTAGAACAGAAACATTGCTTCCGCTACTGCCGAATAAATCCACAGAATTACTAAATGATTTTAAACACATTTCCAACCTATGGATTTCTAACAACTCCCGAAAGCTGTAGAATATCCTCCGTACCAGATGTTTCACTTGAGTTAGCTTCAACTCAATATTATCTAGTTTTGGAAGGCTGACATAAGCTTTATATATTACATTTGAATTTGAATTATTTTGTACTTTAGATTGTAGCTTCAAATATTTTATATTTATCAGTTATAATTAATGTTTTATTTTTAATATTTTTAGCTGCACTTCCAGAAGTGATTGTACGAAAATGCCGTAATTGCTCGCCTCAACAAGCCGAAAACGCTCAAAAACTTACAACATTTTTGCAAACTAGATATCCTGATGTTTGGACAATGCTTCTTAAAAAATATCAAAATGCTGATTAGATGCTTAAGCTAGAATAAATCTTCCTATATTACTTATATTTTAATAGGATTATTAAGAACGATTCGAAAATTTAAAGCACGCTTTGTAACGTAAAGATATACATATATAAAAAACGACATACACGATGAACTAGTCAACATAAAATTGTCATTTAAAGAATTTTTAAGTATACAATAACAAAAAAAAAAAATTCAATGTCTTTTAAAACATAAAATTTTAATACATAAATAAATACTATATCCGCTTTAATTTTTGATTTGAAAAGCTTTCATCTAAACAATCAAAAACTTAGTATTATAGCTTTAAATCACAAATAAAATTAAATATATTAATAATAAGCATTTCTTTTAATTAAAGTAAAGCAATAAAAAAATTGATTAAGTAAAAATTAAAAGATAAAATTGAGTTTGATTGATGACAGATAGTGCATGGCAGACCAAAAATGCATATATCACATTAAAGTTTCTTTAGTTTTGGGTATGTAGCTTTGTTTGCAATTAACGGTTTCCGACAAGTATATCTTTTCATCATATGCTATTAATATATAATGGTGCGGAAATTACTATTGTAAAGTGTTTTATTAATAGAAGAAGTATTGAGATTTAGTGACTTCCTTTTTATGTTGCAGGGAGGGTTGTGATAGTTTTTATAGGTCTTTGTCATCACCCTTTACGTTTTTTCATCACCTTTTACGTTTCCTTCTACACCTCCAATGTCCCAGAATTTAAAACAAGTGAATTGTTTGCTTGTATTTAGGTTCATTCCTACAAGAAGTGCTATGACCATACAATACTTAAAATCAAGAAAAATAAATTGTTTACAATAAAATATACATACTTTTAATATTTGTGCAGCATTTGAGCTATTAAATCAATATCCATGTGTTTACATTTATTATTGTTTTCTATATTGTTTATATTAGTAATAATTGTGACATACAAAATAATGTCAAGAAAATGTTTCAATTACTTTAAATTGGGTAACACCAAATTTATTGTATAATAAGAAATAAACTAATAATTTATATTTACTAAAAATACGTAAATTTTTATTTCAATACGATCAATATGCATATTTGGCATTTTTTTGTATTGCAAATACAACGTCAGTTTTGCAAAAATTTAAAATTGTGTTATGCTACATTAGTGTTTTTATCAAAAACAATATTTATTGATATAATACATATATAATTTAATCTATTTAGTTCAAATAAAAGTAGTAAATAAAACAGTTCCGAATATGAAATAGTATATATATATATATATGCATTAAAACAGTCAGTGTTTTAAAAAGCAATTATATTTATTTAGAGAACAGAAAATATGTTTATGTCAGCGTTTCACCTTGCGTAACACAAGCCTCCAAATAATCAATACGTCGTTCTAAAATTGTTAATTTTTCATTCAAAACTGCCAAACGGGACCTGCACGACATATCTGAAAAATACAAATTAAGTTGTAGATATAGTGTGTTGTTTCAAAATGCTTTGCGATATAAAAAAAATTTACATTCTATGAATATATAGATATATATATATATGAACAATAATATTAACTATTTTTTAAAATTCATTTTTCATTTAGAAAGTTTTTAACAGGTTTCTATATTGTATATCGCAATTGTAAGAAAAATTCATATCATCGTAGCACGTAGCACTGAGGTGATAACAAGTGCGTTGTACCTCTTTTTGTCATTGGCAGTGACAATTAACAATATATCTAAAAGCGTATAAAAGGGTCTTACCTAACTAATATGAGATATAATTTCTTTTTTTCAACAGTTTAAAAGAATATTTTATTTTGATTTAATTAAAGAAGTAAAACCCATAAACCATCACATTACAGGAAAAAACAACAACTAAATTTATAACATTATTATTTATGAAAAATTAAAAAGAAATACTATAAAATTAATGTACAAAAAAATAATATTTAAAATCCAATTTAATTGATGCAACCATAACATCAATAAATCAAAAACTGTTGTTTTCTTAAGTGTTTCTTTCAAGTATAAGTATAAGCTACTAATCGCGAATGCTACTTGATCGTCATAAATAACAATCTTCTGGATTCTACACAAAATTGGTTCAAGTGCAAGAAGAACTGGTCAACTACAGTTAATTTTTTTAACTCGTTTTAGGAGCGACGAATAACTGTTGGTCGTCTGAACAAGAGATTCCGCGACATAAACTCTTCCACAACTATAACTGCAACGGTTTTCAGTCACCACCACTTCCGTTGGAGTTACACCTTTCACTTGATGAAATTGTCCAACGAGAAACAACAAAAACAATAAATTAATTTACTAAATCAGTTAAACTAAATAAATTTTTTCGTAATTTTAGTTTAATAACATTTCTAGAAATATTAACCCTTATATGTAATAAATCAATTGTAAAATAAATATTTACCTAACTCAAACTAAATAAATATATATTAATTATTATATTAATATCAATATTTCTTTAATACTGACACAATTTGTAAATATCTTCGGTGTTTTACATACCAAAGGAATTAAGAAAATCTGTTATCCTTTTGATACTGGCTGTGATCACTTCAATATATTCCCGATTTGCCCAGTCTTGATGTATTTGCTTTTGTATAGCTTCTCTATGGACTCCACTCATTTTATTAAATATTTTTATATATTATTAGCAATAATAATTCAGTCCAAATATTAGTGGCATATTAAGCGCAGGGTGGTACAATTAATTATTAGTATTGCCAGACTTTTTGTTCTGAAATGTTAATCGATACATTTTGCATCACATCACAAACAAAAATAAAACGAAATGAAAAATAAATGTTATAGAAATATTATTATTATTATATTTGTATACATATATACATACAATTTTTATAATCTTTTCTTGTATTTGATTAAAAAAGTGCTAATACATAATAAATCATCTTCTTTTATATAAAAAGAAAGTTGCAAAATCTTTAGCGAAATGTATTTAATTTTTTAGATTTAAATTAATTTAAAATTTAATTATGTCATACATCTCTATTACATATAATTTCATTTTATTTTTAATTTATACAACTCATTTATATTATTGTAATTATATATATTTGTAGATGTTTTATATACATAAAATATATATATTATTATTTAAAATTAATTTTATATAACTTACTTATAAATAATGAATTGAAAGCAAAAACATATTTAATTTTTTTGCTAACTTTTAACTAAATAGAACATTAATAATCTACTTTTACGCTCATGTCATCATAAAATCGTACTTGCAAACAGTTTAGTACTATGTTAGATTATATCATTGTATATGTGTAAGATTTAGATATAGTAAATCAAGAAATACTTTTTTTTATAAATTTTTAATAAAAACATTCAACTTTATTCAATTATAATTCACAAATTAGAAATTAAATAAATTTCAAGATTTACATACATAAGTCAAATGTATATAGTCATCGTAATGTCAATATTGGTTTGTTTTAAGTTAGCTTTCATAGGAACGGAACTGACATATAAACGGATTGCTTTTTTTTGCAGTAGGTGGAAAGCATCGCAAGGCACAGTGTGAGACTTGAACTCACTAAAACCACCTCTTAGGAATGAAAATGGATGCCGCGAAAAGCGGATGCAACGGCAGAGAGAGAACAGAGAGGCTTAATATTTAAGCGAAACTAAATTCATCTAAGTCAGAAAACGTGGACCATATTAGTGTTGTCTTGGTGAAGGGGGTTGGGGTCAGTGTAACTTTGCAGGGAGTCTAGCTAGCTGCATCTTAGCAATCAGCTAGGATAAGTTGGCACTTAATAAACCGTTACACAGCCTGGTCACATTAATGCATATTCAAAGAAACGCCGGGTGAGAGAAAGGGAGACCTATTTAGGGAGAATGAGCAACGATACGATATCAGTGCCATGAGCTGGGTGCAGCTCTCAGAGGGAGGAGGTATCATATTTGCATGGGTTGCGTTTGACAGGGAGGATTTGTTAATATTAGTGAAGAAAATTTGCGCAAAGTCACCGCGAGAGCGGTTTTAAAGTCCTCTTCATAATAAGGAAAGGGGAAACTCTTCAAAAGAACTGGAGTAGTCCCTTTTGGAGGATGGACGCAAAGGTCGGGATTTGCATCTGCTTGAGGAGAGCATAGTGTTGTTCAGTCCCTTCATCGAGACTGAACTCGCTAAAGAGGAGGTTAGGGACCTCTTCCTACATTGTAAGTCAAAACTAACGAAAACAAAAAATACGTAAGTCAAGATATGAACAGGACAAGGTGAGCTGAAATTTAAATAATGGTTAATTTAAAGGAAAAAAGCAGAGTTGATAAAATTAATAATACAAAAAAAATAAAAAATGCGGCACAAAATAACACCAGCAGAAAATAATAAATAAAAAAAGCAGCGCAAACAGAAAATTAAGGGTACAAAACAGCACTAACAGAAAATAAAAGGTGGTACAGAACAGTACCAACAGAAAATATATAAAGTGGCACAAAACAGCACTAACAGAAAAAAACTGTATATTCATTGTGTGCAGTATAATTCTCATATTGATTCGTTTTAGTCCTTCGTCGAAGTAGAATTATGGCAGTAACCGAATGCTATTCGTATGCTGTATAATTCACATCATGTTTTTATAATGATTATAATTGTAACTAATATAGCACTTATATACTTTGTTTAATATTATATATAAAATCATACGTACAGTTGCATTAAAAAAGTCACGATAGAAAATTTTACGAATTTATGAACTTTATTACTAAATACTAATGTTTTGAGTTTTGCATAACCGAAGTTTTAATAGTGCAAAAACATAATCTGAAATTAATACTTGTTTCTGAAAAGTTCAAAAGTCTTTTTACATTAAATACTTTATAGAAGACATTTATAAAATAGCTTATCTAAAATTTAGGTAAATTTAATGAAGTGTACTTGTAAACCACATATATTTATATATCAATTCTCTATAACAATATGTATAAGAAAGCAGATTCTATTTTTAAGAAATTTGATGGATATAGATTACCTATATCCTATATATACTACTAAAACAAAATAAACGAAATTTTGTCAAAATTCTGTGACAGAGCTTTATTAATATATTTTACATATGCTTAAAAGATATAAATTACTTTATTGTGACACGATTGGACTTTTTTTGTCTATTTCAGAGAGGTTGGCATTATTTTGCGGAACTACTCCATTACCCGGACTGGATGCTATATTCCCTGTTCTATCAAGATTCCAAGGATTTGACCCTGAAATTGGAGAATCCGCATGTCCAAATCCTGGATGATTATCGTGTTCAACTGCATTAGACCCATCATATTGAGTGTTTTCAAGTCTGGTTATTAATCTTTCATCCTCTTCACCAAATTCACCACCCATTAATGTAGGTTCGCCTACTACCATAACATCTTGAGAAGAAAGTGAGAAATTTGGTCCAGACGGTGATCTTTTTTGATTAGTTACATTTTGGGCACCAGGATTTGCCCCTCCTCCTGAATTTGATCCTTTTCTTTTACGTCTCTTATTTGCTGGTCGTTGTGGATCTTTTTTACCAGGTGGTGCAACCATTCTTTGCCATTTTTGAAAAAGTGTAGTTTTTAAACAGTCACGTGGACTTAAAGCATATGCTTTGTGCCGCGACATAAGTTCTTGCATTGGCTCTAATATAACACATAACCGTAAATAATTAAGTGTTGAGTTTGTTATTCCAGCACGCGTAATATTTTTTGTAATTTGATCAAGTAGCATTGGATCAGGTGGAAGTGACGAACCTATTACCGACCGAGGAATAAGCTCTCTGTGTCCTTTGATTGTCATATGCCAAGATTTAATACGCATATAGTCATCATATATGAATTCTAATATAAGTCTTGCGTCAGCACATACTTTCGTAAAAAATGGTTTCCCATGTTGTGTAATAACTGTGCATTGATCACAGTCCAATGTTATCGAAGTATTGTGAAAAGATTCCTTAGCATGTTTAAGTTGAAAATATAAATCAGAAACGCCACCTTCATATATGCTACGGAAAAATCTTGGTATTAAAGTACGTCCAATTGTATATCGTTTTGGACCATCTTCTAAACAAAATAAAATTGTTAATCTAGCATCGTCTTCAAAAAATTCTGTTGTGAAAGAATCCCACCAACAGTTATCACTTTCTTCGGTACGTTGTTGTAGACGTTTATTAAGTTCAAAAACACGGTGTTCAGTGTGACTGAAATATGTATTATGTCGTCTAAACCCTTGGTCGAGACGATCAAGTTGTTGAGATGCACCCATCATAGGATGCGTACCGTGCCCGAAAGGTGCAGTAGGTGGCAACGCGTTAAACTGTCCAACTCCAAATACAGATTGTGAAGGATAGTGACCAGAATGACCACTATTAAAAGGAGTGCCAGAACTTGCTGGTCGATTAAATTGTGACAAACCAGAAGAAGGAGATCCGAATGGACCACCAACTGGACCATTAAAATTAGCAGATCCTGCGGATTGCACATAATTATTGCCTAAACCTTGTTGACCGACAGGACCAGGCGTTGAAGAACCTGAGGGTGCAGGAGATGAAGTATACTGTGGTGTATTTGAACCAGGTTGATTCGAGTTTTGGAACACCATTGATTGATTACCAGCGGGTGATGATTGACCGGCTTGCGAATACTGCGTACCAGACGAATTGAATGGAATAGAATTTTGAGGAAATCCACTTTGACTTACTCCATCTGGATTAATAGCATTTGCATTATTTGCATTGGATAAATGAGGCGCACCTTCATTGACGCCTTTCCAGCTATTGTCATCTAATGCTGCTTGGGCAGCCATTGCTGACGCTGAATTCATACCTCTGCGGTTCATACCTATCATTCTTAAGCCGGAATATTTATATGAGCATCAACAACCTGCAATTTAAAAACAATTCTGTTACTAAATAAACTTGAATAAATTACACACAAAGAAATCAAATCAAAAGCAACAATAAACTAATTTCTTTTAAATTGCATTCAATTTTCTTGTTTTTAAATGTATGGATGTTTTAAGATTTCTGTATTTAATCGTAAAATAATGGTGTTTAACCCCAAAATGAAATAAACAATTTTGTATGTATACAAAAAAATTCAAAGCTGCACATTTTATTTGCTTTTGTAATAACAATTATACTAATATTTTTATGATCATAAAACATTACTATCACATTTAAAATTATATTACCAAAATTCACAATGTTATAAAAGTGTATAACTTCAAAACAGACATTTAATATAATCACACCTACATACAACTTTTTCAGGTAAAACATTAACTCCATCGATTTATTTCACAAACAAAAAAATGCCGACCAATGTTAAATTATCAACTGGTACAACATATTATATACGTACCACAACTTTGTTTCAATAATATACAGTATTCAAATTTTTTATAAATCAATATCGAACATAAAACAATTATAAAATGTTTTTCTATATTTTCCACATTAGCGATGACAAAAACAACGTATGAGTAGATTGTTATCGATAACATGAAATTTTTTGTGTGAGTGTTTGCATTTGTGACAGAAGTGACGAGCGCAAATGCGATTTCGGGGCGAAAATTTTAAGTGATTAAATACATTGAATTTTATTAAATTTTTATATTGTAAATAACAAAAAAAAAAAAGAATTGTTAATAAACATATTGTGTATTAAATTGTGTACTCTAATATTAAGTTATTTTTTTTTTCAAATTAACTTAATTTTGTAAAAATGAAATTAAGTTAATTTCGAAAGTGTTCATACTGCACCCAAATTAAGGAAATCATGTGTTTACAAATCAAATATTAAAAATTATATGCTCCAAACACCATTTGTACCTGGGAAATTTCAAAAGTTGATCATTATAACTATAAAGGATAGCATTCAGTAGTTTTATTAGCTTTAGTAAATTTCAGGCAGTGAATTATTATTTTTTACTCTATTTTAAATTAATTACAGTTACAGTTTTTTCTCTATATTCAAATTTAAACATTTGCCCTACTTTCAAAAAATTTTCCCCGTTTTATTAAATTCAACTGTCACTGACATTTATTTAAGGAAAAATCTCAACTTTATCCTTTGCTTAAAATTTATCTTACGCATAGTTGCATTTGAAATGTCCCTTAATTTTAGCCTTCGTTTCAACGAAATTTTCCTTTTCGTTCTAAGGTTAGAAATTTCATTATAACCTTAAAACTGAATTTTGTGTGTAAAAAAACAACTTAATATCACTGAAACGAAGCTGAAATAAAGATTTTTGCGAAATTAAGGTGTGTCTGAACATAGTATAAGTGAACTAATTATGTGATAAAAATATAGAATTTACTTCGGATACATACATACACATATATGTTTTTGTAATAAGTTAAAAAAATTTTTCTTCCTAATTCTATCTTCTCACATAAAATACTGTTTTGTGAAAAAAATATGTAAAATAACTGTTAATGTAACATTGGTAGTATATATTTAAAATAGGTCGCAGTGTAATGATTTCCGGAGAGTTATAATTCTCTGAATTTATGCTTTAATATTTATTGTGGATATATAAAACCAGTAGCGTGACACAATGTCGACAACGTTACATTTTTTTGAAAATTAATTTGTTTAGCGAGTAATGACAATTAGAGTAAAATTAGTAATCTTTAAGTAATCGATGAGAGAACCTGAATCTACTTTCCATTTGGTTCATATTGAGACTTTTGTCTCAGTGATGACAGATTGATGTACTCGTGCGTACATTTACATGAGTAATAATTTCGCCGTGTGATGTTTCTCAATTATTCTGGAATGATATGTACAGTTTTCGTATAAAGACATTTTAATAAGTTATTTTTGCAACCAGATAATTTTATTCAATTATTTGAGTTATATATTTTTCTAAAATCTTTCCGTATTTCTGAAGATGATAAAAGAAATTTATTTAGACATACATATATAAACAATAGTTCTGCAGTCACTGATATTGACACATTTACAATAATATTCTTATTAATATAATTGTGGGCAGGCTTAAAAAATATTTTTCTATGATCGTTTCATTTCATTTGATTGGAGTTTATCTCATGCATTAGAATTATAAATCGTATATTTTTCTTTTCTCTGCTGATTATTAGGTTTCATCTAATGCCTTTAGGTTTATAAATGAGACATTATTCATATATATATATATATATATATATAAATTTTCCCGGTGCCGGTGCAATTAATATTATGAAATTGTCATTGATGGCTATAGAATTGTCTTAAGTCATGATGCTCTTTAAAAATTTCTGTAACACTGTAGTTATCCAAAGGTTGATATTATTTTTTATTAAAATTTATTTATATATTATTTTTTAAAATACTTTAACTTAAGATATCATCTTCAGATTCTTTTGATTTTTTAGGCTGTGGTTGCATTTCATGCGATTTTTGTTTTGCGTGTTCGTACGAACAAATCAAATGTATGCAGTCATATAGCAACTGTAACTATATGACTGGTTACAGTTGCTGAGAACAGTTCGCGAGACGCGATTTCGTCAAAACGTAGTTCCTGTTTAAAGGGAGCTCTTTGTTAAAGGATTATTATTATCATTACTAATGATGATACTAATGAGCCCAAAGTTCTGCATTTCTTTTAAAAGTTCTTATAGCACAAACGCATTCAAAGATGTTAGTATTTATCATTCTCGTTATCTTATCTTTATACCTGTAAATATTTAAGTAGGCTCTGTTTTATTTTACACTTAGGTACTTGAAAAAGTTCTAAATAATAAACGTACTTCTAGTGACTCATTTTTCGGATAATTTTTTAATTTATACTGCACACTTATTAGTACAAAGTTCCAAATATGGAATTGGTACAAGGTATTGAAAAATATGAAATATATACAACTTAAGTGCACATTTCTGCATAACTTGATGCTGCCGTATGTTTTAAAATGCAGAACACGGAATTTTACTTTCAATTTTTATAGGAAATTTATTGTTAATTTTTTTTCTAGAGTTATTTGACTACCCAGAAGTAACTCATTAGAAATGGGTTTAGCCATACATTAAGACCGAAAAGTTTTCGGAAATTCTCATTTAAAATTCGCGCGCTGTATATTTTTCGATATTTTAAGTTTATGTAGTTTGGCAGCACTGTCCTTAATTACTATGCCAAAAATGAGCGCGATCTGTCAGACAGTTCGTTTACGGCAGCTGTTGAAACCAGTTCACCTCAGTAGGGCGTTGCGAAAAAAACAATGGAAAAAAATATTGAACAAAGAGTTTGCATCAAATTTTGTGTTTCGAACGAAATTTCGTGTGCAGAATCGTTGCGAATGCTACAAAAGGCTTATGGGGAATCAGTTTTATCGAAAACTCAAGTTTATGAGTGGTACAAAGCCTTCCAGGACGGTCGTACGACCGTCGAAGACATTTCGCAACGCACTACTGAGGTGAACTGGTTTCAACAGCTGCCGTAAACGAACTGTCTGACAGATCGAGCTCATTTTTGGCATAGTAATTAAGGACAGTGCTGCCAAACTACATAAACTTAAAATATCGAAAAATATACAGCGCGCGAATTTTAAATGAGAATTTCCGAAAACTTTTCAGTCTTAATGTATACTAACGACTCTGGAATTGTTAAGTGGGAAGATAGTTTTGTTTTTAGTAATGAGATAAAAATATAAACAAATGCTATAAAGTATATAGTTGAAATTTTGTTATTTATCACATAGAACCACATTTATACTATACTTTTAACTCCTTGAATACACATCAATTACATCAGTTAGGCTAGTTTTAAGCAGATACACAACTTGAAACAAGATAGCGATATCGCAGGCAACTGGTTATATAGGTTGTCTTAGAAGTATATTCGAAATAACTGGCTTATCTAGACATGTGGCTGGAAAATGCGTTGAAAAAATTAAGTAAGAAAAGTTCATCGAATTGTAGACATCTACTTGCAAATTGTCGTTTCTTAAATAAAAGAAAAATCAAGCGTTCTTATTGCGATGCATAACAGAGATATCACTCTTATGACAGAGGTGCTGACGGTCTATGTCTTTCCTTGCTATCAAATTGTATATTCTCTTCAACAATTCATGTCACTGCTATGAGAAAGATAAAGAACGTGCTTTACATTTTGTCATTGTCTAGCAGTTTATATTCTGGAGAATTAATTATGAAAAAAAGAATTATGTTACATTAAAGGTTCAAAATTATATTAAACTATATTAAGTGCCTCAAATATTCAAAGTTTCGGCAATTTTAATGTTCGCATATGATGTTCCTAAAGTATTTACAAAAAGAAAATTAAATGAAACATTAAATGAAAGCAAATTTAATATGAAATATTTTTGAACAGTTGAACTGGAAATGTTTCCAAATGTTGGATCCAAAAGTTCAAATTCGAGTATTTTTGATTTGGTTGAACACGATAATGCTTGAACACTCTGAAGCATTATTTTAAACCCTTTGAGAGAATATATATTAGACAAAACAATGCATAACTAGGGTTAAATAGTCCCCAAGGATCAAACCTAAATAACTAGTATTATTTTAAAAAATAATTTTGCAATTTTTATCACATATATTAGTTAATTTAAAAGAATGATTTGCAACATTCTTCAAATCTTCTTTTTTTTTTATATCGTGTATTATGTGTATTAAAGACGTCATGTTAATTATTAAAAATTCGAAGTAATTGTTTTAATTCAGTAAGAAAAAAATATAATTTATTTAACGATACTATGTATGGTGAATATGCTTGTTTCTATGAATCATTTACAAATGATAAAAATTATATACTCACCGAATTCTTAAAATTTGAACATTTTTACTAAACTAAACATTAGAAATCTATACAGATCGTAAAGTTGTTTCAACTTTAACATTTTGTTACCTCGCTCAATTTCAAAAGTTGTACAGCCGCTCAATCATCTAGTTAAGTCATAAAACTGAGATATAGAGTCGTTAGTCGTTAGTTAATAGCAATAAATTTTTAGTTTACTCATTTCCCTAAAACATTTGAGCAATTATTGCTATCCTGTATTCGGGTTTGGGCACATTGGTAGCTGACTAAGTATATTGGTTTTTTTATGCTCTACAACGAACTCTAACTAACAATTTATTAATACTATGGCAGTAATCTTATTTTCCGTTGTTATCTAAAACTCCAAATATGAAATATCACATAGTTTATTTGCTATATTTGTAAAGCTCACATTTTAAATTCATAATATATCAGCGCAAACATATTGTCTCAAGGAAGAAGATATTAATTTCAGTTCACAGATTTAACAAAAATAGTCTGTTTAAATTGAATTTCAAACCAGGATCTCAGAAATTCAAGTGACAGTGAAAGTATTAAAATTGTCACAAATTTATTTGATATATATGTAAAGCTATATTTCAAATTATTTAATGTATCAGTGCAAACATATAGTCTCAAGGAGAAGATATTAATTTAAGTTCACAGATTTAACAAAAACAGCCTGTTCAAATCGAATTTCAAACCAAGATGTCGGAAAGTACCGTGGTAGTGAACATATATATATAAAAATCTTGTCACGATTATTGTTATTGTACGTAATAACAAATATGCGTAATTTAATATATTTTTTTAAAATAATCTGTTAAAAACTTCTACCGAGCTCTTGGCTCCACATTATAATTTGTAAATAATTTATAGTCATATCGTAGTAGATATATTCGTTTAAACTCAAAACCGAATTTCTATTTTGATTTTACAATTTCGAAAAATTGATTTACTGACTTTTTGGTAATTAATAAAAAAATATTATTTAAGAACTGAATCAATAACCAACATTTTTATTATAAATATCAAAGTTCATTTTTAAAGCTACAACCTTCTCGTACAAAAATTAATAACAATAAATCAATTATAAAGCACACATATTTCATAGGATTTGTGTTTCATTCTTTACAATTTTACAATTTGATTCCAGCATCTTCAGCTTGTTTTTGGTATTTCTTCAAGTAAATACCTTCTGGATCGTACTTAGTTTGCAATTGCTTCCATTCTTCAGGTTTCTTGTCAATGATATGCCTAAGTACTTTATCGGTGCTCTGTCTTTGTTTTTCACTGCATTTAGAGCATTCAGTTTTCAAGGCATCTGGTAATGTTTTTTTAAGTTCTCGGCCGTCTGGTGTACATTTTCCGGTATCCATTAAACACTTGAAGTAGTTATTAAATAAACGATCAGATTTCAGGATTTCATCCACATCTATATTATCATATTTTGTGGTATATTTATCTTGAGCCATAACCACAGCAATAGAGGCAAATAATGCAATATAGATAAAGGCCTTCATTTTTTTAGAACTGAAATTCAATAAAAAAATTTTATAAGCACTTATTAAAATTTAACACTAGTTTTCTTAAGTTAAAATTAATTCAGTTTTAGAAGTAAAAACTTGTTATTTAAAAAAAAAATTATATATAGAATTTTTTAGTTTAAAATTCTATATTTCGTTTGTTAAATACAAAAAATTAAATTACTTTTTTTCAACAAAAGACTTAAGACACAAGCGCGCAACACCTTACAATTTATATGAAATATACGACTAAATTTTACTACATTTAGTGTTTGCCTTTTATACTACATTTAAATAGCAATATTAATTACTATTGGTTCAGATTCAAGTCTTCTTTAAGTTAAATAATTTTTTTTCAGTAATAATTTTTCTTCAATTAAACTTTTGCGAACAGTGAACTCTCGAATTTTATGGCATCAGCTACTTGTACTTAAGTATATTAAGTATTATTTTAACATACAAATATTGTGCTTTATGAAGCGTCTTTAAATCATATTTTGTATTTAATATTAATTGAATTAAAGTAGAAATATATATATAAATGTATAGAAAATTGAATAAAAAATAGTTTAGGGTCTACTGTTTCTTTTTACGTTTCTCTACTGTAACGCATATTGCAACATGCAAGATGTATTGTTTGTCATAAACACATATACACTAGTCTACATATGTAAATAGTAGTGAGTACACTGTATTTCGTTGTTGACACATATACATATAAAATTAAAGGTGAATTACGTATATGTATTATCGATTCCAATGTCCACGTTATTACGTAAAAATAAATCACATTAAATACCAAATCTGTCTGTTTGTTGTTAATACAATTTGTTTTCGGTCAATATGTTTAATATGATCGAATGAGGAATACATTTTGATCAATAAAAGATTGAACTATTGATACAGTTACGCGATATATGAAAAAAAAAAAATGTTCATAGTAATCAATATGGATTCTATTTCATTTTTATGTTTTAACTTTTTTGGTATCTTTAATGGATTTTCTAATTCATTTTTTTTTTTGACGTTTTCCTAGTACTATTTTCGGTAAATTACAAAGTTATTAATTAAATTTTACTCGGGATTTCTATCGATTCGCTTTCTGAATAATTTTCAAACTAACCTAAATGGTTTTTCTGTTGATCTAAATCACTTTAAAAACATTCTAGATTTGCTCTTTATGTTTAAGAATTTAAAGACCAATTAGAATTTGATCATGGCTTAAAAGTATTAGTTAGTTTTTGACTAATGTGAATGTCAAATCAAAATGAATTTTAAAATGTTTGCATTTATTATGATTACATGTTATTATTTAACTTTTAGTCAATAGTTTAAATTTAAATAGTATCTCATTAATAAAATAAGCATGATATTTATTTTGAAAAAATAAAAATATCGTTTGAGTTCAAGAGGTTAATATATCAAAAAATTAATTAGTATTGTTGAAAGATTTACTAATTAAAAATGTGAAATATATATAGTCAAATTTAGTATTTATTTAATCAAGTTGATAATCGAAAGTTATTGATAAATTTACTATAATCACCTATAACTAAATGGGAACAAAAATGGTACCAAATTATATTTTGGCTAATATACATATATCTAATAGATACTTCTTGAAATGCAATCAAAAACTATGTAGAGTGGCTTAAAAATAGTATTTTTTCTTTATTTTTCACCAACGCTATTGTTAGCTTGATGTATTTATTATTGGTTTATATTTTATCGAAGTTTTCTTTTAAGGACAATCAAATCTAATTAAAACAGTTGTAAAAAATAGATACTTGATTTTATGTAAACGTCTCTGGATTTAAACAATCCAAACAATGTTTTCTGATTATTTAAATTAATTATTTTGCTTGATATTCTATTTGACATAGTAATAATATAAACCAATTTGTTTTACTTCAATTATATCTTTTAATGTAGTATTTGCCTATAAAAACTATCAACCCCATGTCATACTATTTTATATATATGTATATTTAAGTTCATTCATATGTATAAACTAAATGTATTAATAACTTATACAAACTAAAATCATTTTTGGAGAGCTCTCCAAAGTATAATTTTTATAATAATATTTTCAGAAACAAGCTAAAATGGAAGTCCTTTATACGATAAATTATTGGACGTTGTAGACTGAATTATTTTTTCAATCTTAAGTTTGAGCTTAATGGCTCCAATAATTTTAATTGATTTTATTAAATATCTAATACTTTCTAAAATGATTTGTCTGTAGATAGGTATATAAAAGTTCATAATTCAAAGTTACAAGTATTACAACTTTAAACTTGGCTACACCAAAGTAACGTTGCTATTTGTGGAAATCAATTGAAATTTGTTATGTTAATATAATGGAGGAGCAACGATAAATGGCCTATTGTGAAGAAGAAACATAGGTTTTCTTGATAAAATGTCAAAAAAAAAAATAAGATTCAGTAACTGCTAAAATTGTAGCGATTTTTTTACAACTGACACTGACAACATTGTTTTTATTATATTAAATAATTTTACAAGTTTAATTGCGACCACAATTGCTTTAAATTGTGAGTAATCTTTACACTCTGCATTTATCAAACGTAACTCAATCCTTAAATTTGTAAATTTTACAAAGTCCACATACACTTACACTCATTAACCAATATTAACTATTACCGAAACCCAATTTTTGTTTTTATTAAAATTTGATCTTCAATATAATTCGTTGCTGTGTTTTCCGTTTGTTCAAATTTCATAAAGATATTTCTAAATTATTCGTTAATTTTTTCGTTTTTGTTTTGACGTTAATTAAGTAACAATGTGTTTAGACATCTTACTTAAATTATTTTTAGGTTTATAACGTTAATCCTTTTTTTACGAGATAAGCGCGTAATTATTTTTTTGGTCCATTAAGTTAGTAAGTGCTTTATTAGATTATAAGTGCAATATAATAGTTATAAGTGCTAGTTTTAATCAGAACAAAGGTAAAAATTTAAACAATTTTCAAATAAATTGTAAAGAAAAATAATGCAATGAATAATAAAAATTTCTTACCCAAAATCAAATCAGATTTTTAGAATATAGAAAAATTTTATAAATTATTTTTGGTATATTGTTTTAGAAACTTAACTGTAAACAATGGAAAATTATAAATTGAATTATCGAATGGAACAACAAATTTTAAAAATAACAACATTTTGTTTTTTCTTTTTTCCCAATTAGGTAAATTTTGGAATTTAAGATTTGGAAATCTTAAATTGGTGAATCTTATAAGATAAGCTAAAGTTTAAACATGTTTTTGATTAATCACGAGAAATCCTATAACATTTGTTTTTCATTTTTTTAGTTCGGAATTTGAACTGATCTGCTTTTAATTTTCTTTCTGTTATATTCGTTTACCTCATTTTTTTCATTGTATGGATTTTGTGTGAAAAATAAGCTAGTTATATAATCCTGTATAATATATTATATAAATCAGTTGGAAAGCTAATATTGTAAACATATTATAGGCCATTTTGTGTGATGATTTTAATGTATTTATTATGATTACATGTTATTATTTAACTTTTAATCTATAGTTTAAATTTAAGTGGTATTTAATTAATAAAATAAGTATCACATTATATTATTAATCAATTGGCTTTAACGTGAAACATAATATTGCTGTAAACATAATATAGGCCATTTTGTGAACCGATTTAAATGTTAGAGGTTATTCAACATTCCAAATAGAGTTTAAAATGTTAAATGCAACGAAATAGCTTTACTCATATATATAAGTTTTAGATTTGTTATTATATTATCAAAGCAAATTTATTTGTTGTTGTATATGAATTTTAAATTGATCTATTAATGTTTTTGTGTTAATTTTTTTCTAATAAAATGCAAAAATATTTAAAAAACGTACCTTGTTAAATCTAAAGATAATTAAACAAGTTATTTATTATTCAAATGAAATTTTCTAGATAATTTGAACTAATGATTTTAATTATCTTCACTTATATCGACCATTGATGCTTATTTATAGTACTTACTATATATCATATAGAAGTATATTACCTTTATTATTTACATATATAGTTTTTATATACATCATTCGTGATTTAATTATATTATCAATTATGATTTGAATTATTTAAATTAATGTTCTTAACAATCAAGACATTTTTCTCCTTTGTTGGGTGGCGTTCAATCTACAGTTTAGTCTACAGTTTTGTCTATAGTTTTAAATAGAGCTGTGGGCAATTTTGCAAAGAGTAACCCACATATGCGAAACTACGAAAAGAAAATAAACCTAATAATTCAATAAATATTTCAATATTTTCTTTGATAAAGGTAAACAAAAAATAATATAATAATAAAATTATAAAATAATTTTCAAAACTTAGTAAATTTATTTAGTTCGTGTTCAAGGTATGCTTCATGCATCATTTGAGCAAATTTATAAGCTAATGAAAAACATAAATTAAATTTATTTTGCTAATTAAGTGACTTAAAGAAAAAAAATAAGTGAAACTGTTATATCTGTGCCCGAATTGTGTTTAAGTAAGTAAATTCTAAAAAAGTAATGTACATATTTAATAAACATAATTTTATATTAGTTAAAATGTAGCATTCGTGTGTATTCATTGGCACGATATCAGTTCGATGTAATTATAACCTTAATTTAATTATATACATATATGTTTATGTATTTATATATTTGGCTTTCATGAATAATAATGTTATTTAGTTACAATTTTAAATGAATGGTACGTAAATCTTAATTTTTTTTTATTTTTTAATAACAATTATTTGATTAATTAATTAATTGATAACAATTATATATATATATGTATGGAAAACTTCAAATCATCTAAGAAAGATTTAAAATTTAAAAGATAGATATTATTTAATATTTAATAAATATTATTTTTGTGTAAGCCTTGCCTTTAATAAAGTTTTATAAATGCATACATACATACATTTATTTGGCATTAAATAAAACTTGAAGTGTATCTGTGAGGTTAAAAATAGACAATTGTGTACTGAAAGTAATTTTAAAATAATTGTATTCGATAGTAGCTTTGAGTACTGTTGTGTATGCATATATTTAAAATTATTTAGATTCTTTTGTTCGCATGTTTATTATGGTGATATTCATAACACTACAATAAAAACAGTTATAAATAATAATTAATCACTGTTCAATTTTAGGAGAGGAGACAACTGGAAATGTTCAAGTTTCATTACTTTAATAAGGTTAAGGGTCCCGGGTCAGTTGCGCAGTGTACATAACTCTAGAGCTGAGAGTTTTCTACACTACGCTA